TACTGAGTTTTAACTGCCTTTTTGGTGTGAAACACTACAATGCTCCAGAAAGGACTTAAGCTAGTTTTTTTCCCATTTTTTTTCCAGTTTCTAGTGTTAGGTTCATGATGGTGGCCTAATCAAGAAGGATTGCAAACTGAATCCATATTTGCAATTAGAGTTATGTGAGTGGTGTTCACACAAGGAATCCAAGTAAAAAAAAACTAAACCTGAGTGAAAGAAGCTAAGCTGCCTAACTTGTGAGACAGTATGGGTGTGAAACACATGTATTGGTGCTGCAGTTACCCAGGGCTTTATTGCCTGTTCTGACTGTGGGATTTGTGATATTTTTCTGCTACAGATGCATGAGGTTTTAGGGGGAAAAGAGGGGAGCAAGGAGCCTTGTTTGCAAACAGTTATGGTTTCGTTTGTATTAAAGTAGTGTCACCTAGAGGCTCCAACCAAGAATACAGCCAAGGGGTGCTGAGCACCCTGAGCTCACAGGCACCCAGAGGCAGAGCAAGGTGCGGACACAGAGAGATGCCGTCGGGCAGGAACAGATCAGGAGCTCCAGTTTTGGGCTGTATTTTGACTGTTCTGATTTTTGGCCATGTGTAAATTGCAAAGGGGTGTTTGGCCTGTCTAGATCTTTGACACCTCGCTCCTTGTCATGAGGTGCTCTCCTGTCTAGGTGTCCATGGGTGACAAAAGGAGACATAGGAGAAATGACAGTCAGTGTTACACTGGCAATTACCTGCCCATCTTGGCGTCAGCTGAAGAAGTTATGATAGAGTCAGTAGATTTAAGGGGTTGTGTGAGCTCTCTGTGTCAGCTACCCATCAGGTGGGATGACTGCTTCAGAAACATTAAAGACCCTGACAAAACTGTAAAGCTGGCTTGAGGGTAAGCAACAGAAACTAGCCACTGAAAGCCCAGTTGTGGGAAACTTGATACCAGTGCTTGGAGTGAAAAGGTTTTTCAAGAAAGTCAACATCTGGTGCTTTTCTGCAGTAGTTGATAGATTTTTTGTGTTTAAAACAGAGATAGGTGCTTTATAAAGGTAGTGTTTTAGACACCTGGCCTTCCCAACAAGTGATGTGGAAAATCACCAGGAGATTATAATTCCAGTTTTCACCCTCCTCCACAACATGTAAAGTATCAATGCTCTGGGGATGCGTACTTCACTGAACCATCTCCTTCCTAAGCAATGAGGACATGTAAACAGAGTATCAGATACATGTAAAATTGCTTTAATGACAACATAAACGTATTTAAAATACAGCAAATAATGCCACAAATTATGTATAAACTACAGTAATTCACTAGTATTAATTTACTCTACGGAGGTCACTTGTTGTTAAGCAACTTTTATTGGAATTAGCTGTCAGTCTGTCTGACGTGAAGTCTGTAAGTATTCCTAAGAGGCTGGGTGTCTGCCTGGTTCTGTTTCTCTAGTACTAGGCTTAAGAGAAGCTGTTTAGACCTAACTATCAAGGTACCTCTCCAACATGAGTGTTGTATTACTGGTGGTTTCAGTACATTTGCCAGTAGCTAAGAAATCTTTGCTCATTGCTTGATTGCAGTATTGGTACATCATAGTTGGAGAAGTAATTTCCCTCCATCTCTTCTTCTTTGCTCTATGGCTTCCTCTGTTGTTTGGCCTTTAATGCTGACCAGTAGTATGTATGGGTTCATTAGCACTATTATAAATTTAGTCAATACTCTTTTAGTGGACTCCAGCTGAGCCTAAACTGACTCACTGCCCTCCAGGGTGCAGTGAGAGACTTAATTACCCTTGTACCGTTCAACAGGAACAATGTCATGGGCAGCATTTCGCTTTGGCTGAAGAGGTTGAAGCTTCTTTCTCTATTGGCTGCCATTTTCAAGTTTAAAGAAAGGGATTTCAGGATAATTCACAGCTCTGTATAATAACAGTGGAAAGCCACTGCTCGTTTGCAAATGAGAATTGGATTGGTCACGTTTCATTACTGTACTTACACGGGTTTTCCTTTGATGGTGGGAGTATTCCTTTGGGTTGTTTTAAGCACAGAAACACAAGTTGAAAGAGGGAAGTGGAGGGACAAGTAATCCTCTAGTTGAGTGGCACATGTTTTAGCACTTCCTACTGCTTGAAACCAAGGAAGCCTTCACGTGATGGAGGGGAGGGTAGGTATTGTATTCAGTATGGCAGAAGTCATCCTGAGGCACTCATGTAATTGGTGATGGGCCAGAGTATCATCCTGGGGATTGCAAACCATGACATTGCCATGTATTTCTCAGCTAAGGTGAAGTTTAAGGGATGAGGTCTAGGGCAGTAAGTGTAGATGAGGGTATGTAAATTCATGTTCTGCAAGGCACATCTATCACTATTTCAGTGTTGCTATAATTTCTGATATTAGTAGTGTCTGTGATTTAAAGCTAAGTCCTGTGTTGGATAATGTGGGAGTCATGTTATTCAATGTGCACAGTGAATATTTCTCAACAAATCTGTACCTGGTCTCTTTTTCTGGCTTTTATGTGTTGTGCTGGGGGCTTTCGTCATATATCAACAATATGGTTTCTCAAGGTGTCACCCATTTTAACTGTAATAGAGTAAAATCGAGTGATTTATTCTGTATTTATAATTAGGATGAAGTGATTGTATAGTCTTTGAGAAAGCAGTGTAGCCTTCTATTGAACAAATGCTCTGACTCTACCACTGGAAGCTATGGATGAATGATATATGAAATTTCTTCTGCGTACTGTAAAGGAGAGAAACATGCTTTGGAGGCAAAGAAAGTGAAGTAGTAGTTATGACTTGTTAACAGCAGACTAAAGCATGGCTAGCTCAAAGTTTGAGTATGTTTACAAACTGTATATTTGCACTTAGAAGAATCTTCAGTGACTGACTCACTGGTTTGATTCCTGTCTATCATTGCCCTTCTTATTTATTCATACACTTGCAAAATATTTGCCTTGTTCCTCAGGTTTTATTACCTGTCCACAGTACATCAGTGGGGAATAGAGAGGAATGTCTGCAGTGAGTCCTTTCACTGCTTATGTCATGGAGAGAGCTTCTTTGTAGTCATTCAAGTATACGAACACTCAGTTGTGCCATAAATATCCAAACAAATCACAGAGCAGACATCATCAGAAACAGTCAGAGAAGGAAGTAAAGTAGGAGGCATCATTCAGAGCAGGATAAAAGAGGAAGGCTTAATAGCAGTCACAAATTCTGGGTTAGTCATCATTTGTCTCCACGCTGGTGGAGGGGACTTGCTGAAGCATTGCGTCACTTGCAAATATTAGTCACTGAAGCCATTGTCTGAGCCTCTGAATGAGAGGGGCAAGATTTTCAGCTTTCTAAGAGAAAATATTTTAAAGAAACATGGGCTACTAGGACTTAGTGGTTGCAAGGTGTTTGATATCCCCTTATTCACACACTGGTTTATATGGATATTGTCAATGTAAACATTAGATGTCAGGCATCTTACAGAGAATTACTGTTTTCCATTAATTTTCTCTTAATTATTTGTTAGGGGAAATTATTGTTATCCCTAATTTAATATTTTGTGTGATATTATTGCTTAATTGAATTAGAGTATTTTGAAACAAATAGGTCAGTTCAAGTGCACAGTTATGTTCTGATGCAGTGCTGTTGTGCTGGCCCGGCTTATGGAATTTGTTTGCAATTTCCTAGTTGTTTGTGAAATGTATTCTTTGTTTCATTTTGCCTTACACAGTTGCTGTTGTTATTGTTAGGTTATTTGTTACTTGGGACAGAGGCAGTTTTTGTCACATACATGTGTACTCTTTGTGCAATGCACTTCCTGTTCTTAATTATTTACACTAGGTGTTACGGACAGGCTAAAGAATGAGCACATAGATAGTCCTTGATTTTGGCTCACAGCATAGAAGGAAGGAGAAACAGTCCAAGCCTGGAGTACTGTCTGGGGACATGAGAGAGTCAGCAGGCTTTGAAACTCATTGATAAAGCACATGTAGAGCCTGTATGGATTCTTCAGGCAAGATAGCCCTGGATAGAATTTCAGTGATAGCTGGTAGTCCAGACAAAAATGCAGTTCTTGATATGAAATACAAGTTAATAGTGTTTGAAAATGAAAGAGCAGTGTGTGTCTATTAAATGGTGCATGTATATCTAGATGAGGAAAGATCACCTGTGTGTATGTGTACATATACGCAAATAGAAATCTAATTTACAAGTTGATAGTACGAGAATGAGCAGATTTCAAGTGGCATATATTTTATGGTTATAGGATTAATAGTTATTTTTGCTGGTTTTAACATATTTCATTAATTACACTAGATGCATACTTATCCTGTGTTCATTTTGAAACCACCAATGCGTTGTTTTTTTTTAATGAAAAGAACTTGTATCTGTGGACAAAGCTAATGGAAAAACCCAATCCTCTCATCCACATATTCATCTGAAAAATGTGTTGTATATCTGCAGTTGATTTTCTAGAATGCTGATTAGCTAATACTGTTTTTGGCATGCAGCTTATCCATCGTGTGGGAGAACACTATCTGAATTTCAATTTACTTTTCAAAATGATGTTGAACTGCTATTGCTTTAAAGGCTTTTCTGGTCATTTGGGGACCCGCTGCAGACAGTGGAACTGCAGTCTGGTCTCAAAATCTAATTGAATTGATATAAGGCAGCTGGAGCAGTGATTGTTGGAGAGTTTGAGATGAATTGCAAAAATACGTGCTTCTGAGTAACCTAGTGTCCTTGTTTGAAACTCTGCCCCGAGTTTATTTGTACTTCCACTGCTAACAGACCTGTTTTATGGTAAAAGCCCTATGCTTCGATATAGTTAAGGAATTCATTAGTTCTGTGTGGTTTGATATGATCACGTTGCTGTTAAAGAAACTTCATGCCTCTGAGAGGGCTAGGCTAATAATGGAAAGAGGAGTGGAGAGGTAAGGTAATGTCAGATGTTAATCCCTTTGTCCCCACCAGCAGCTTGCCACTGTTTAAACTTCCAAAATCTCACCCTCCTGAACATTTGTTTTTGCAGTGATGGGTCTTTCCCTTATGATTCTGTCCCCTGGCAACAAAATACCAACCAGCCTCCAGGCTCTTTATCAGTGGTCACCACAGTATGGGGTGTGACTAACACCTCTCAAAGCCAGGTAAGCTTCATCTATATGCTCCCTCCCCTCTAGCTACACGTTTTTGCTAATGTTTGTAAAATGGAAAGCTTTTTGGAAAATCCTGTTGGGATTAATAGCAGTGTCTGTCTTCTTTGTTGTACATGGTGCGTTTTTCTCCAAGTCATGTCCACTTTGGTGGCATCGGAAAGGAGGTGTCTGAGAGCTTGCATCAGCTACTCCTTTAGCTGCATGCAAATGTCATGCTTGGGTTTAGCTTGAATTTTGCACTATGTGATTTCAACGCTAAAAGCATGGTTCTGGGGTAATCCCAAAGCTCTTGGGAATTTCAGATTGCACGTGAAGAATTGTAATGTTAAAAAAAAAATTAGCTAGATTCACCAAATGACAGTTGTTGATTTTACATGGTGCTGTGTATTGTACTTGTGGGCTGGTGAAATTTAGTACCAAGTCTACCTCCACACTGGGTTGCTAACTACCAGCATTAGGCTGCGTTCTTTGCAGTCTCTCCCTGTTAAGGCTGCCTGACTTTGCAAAAATATTTCAATATACATTGAAACAGAAGCATGAGCTCCTGGCTTCCAAGTGAGAGCCATACTTCCTGGTTGTTCACTTGGTTCTCTCTGCTCTTAACTCTCTTTTTGTTCTGTGTTGTATACTGAATTATACCATACAAAAAGAAGCAGCTTTTATGAAAAAGTTGCCAGTTATTTGTGATAGTGTGCGCTCTGAGGGATGTGGCACAAATTAAGCTCTCAGACAGTCTGGCCTTTTCTTACACCATAGATGAAGTGCTCAAAACAGAACACCATCTTTAATGAGTGCAAATTGTACATAACTCTAACCTGTCTTTTCTGCCTTCTTCAAACCAAGTGACAGTAGATCACATACAAAATTTTCCAGTGATTTTTTTGTTATTATTTTAATTTTGGTAAGAAATTTGAAAACAAAATGGTTATGGAATGAGCTATTTGAGAAAGAAATTATTCAGAGGCCAAGTCATACAGATTCTCACATGGCAGTTATGTAAGCACTGGTGGTGGCATAACCTTTTTTCCAAAAAATAACAAGAGGAAACACTTACAGGACCTATAACATGATTTATTATTGTTGATTTCTTTTAATACATTAAAAGAAAAGGTATCCCATCTGGAAGAGAAACACTTGAGTAAGCACATTGGTCCATATATTGGCCAGAAAATGAAAACGTAGTTTCTTGTGGAAATCTTTCACACTTAAAAAGGCAAAAGGAAAGAATAAAAAAAATTTACTCAGAGTTTTGTTCTATTATAAGAAAACTGCAATATTACTTGAACTCTTCATGGTACTTCAGAGGAATGTGCAATAGAAGGAAAAAAGTGTTTTGGCACAAAGAAAGAAAATGCTTCTTCAGAGTCACTGCAAGGGAGCAGTGAAACTCTGGAATGTGACTCTTGGTTGTAGCTATTCAGAGCAGATTGAAATAAATGTCAGGGTTTCCTGTAAGTCTTCATTCTCATCGAGGGAAAGGAATGAGCTGGGCTCACCAATTTCTTTTCACAAATGCCTGAAGCTGATGACTTCTGTAAAAATCATGACCACTAAGTTTCTTTTCAAGTAGGAGGCAGATTTCTGTGCAGTTGATCCATGAACAGCCATGCTTACATCTCAGTGGAAATCATAGCAATTTGGGAAAAAAAAGTCTTCAAACAAGCAAAACAAGTCCTTTTAAAAAACAGAACAGAGGACTCTTTTATAAAGAAGCAATAAAAACAACCAGTAGACTTCTGTACACTTTAGTGAGACTTAGATTCAAGATTCTTTCACAGTTTTCACATCTGTAGTAGCCTTTGCAGTATGCTAGTGGAACTGAATACTTCCAGGTTATTTCAAAGGCCTGCATCAGACAAACAAGCAAATACAAAGCAAAAACCCAAACAAACAAACAAACAAAACCCACACACGCAAAAAAAAACCAAACAAAAAAACCCAGAAGAAACCCATACCACAAAAGAAAAGTCATGTCCTTTCTCATAGTCAAATGAATGGTCAGAGCATCGTTCTAGCAGATCTTTTTCATCAGATGTTTTCATAAACATGTTAGGGTTCCATTTAGTTGGGTTTGTTTGGAAATGGGAAAAGGAGAAATCACCAGGTATGTGCACTAGGCATCAATGAGGTTTATACCGATAAGAGTTCAGAGTACAGGGTTCTTAATGTTTTAATTTAACTACCACAGCAAATTAACTTAATTTACTTGAAGTAATTCAAGATACAGCCCCTTATTCTCATGTTTTCTTCTCACAGGTGCTGGGAAATCCAATGGCAAATGCTAACAACCCTATGAACCCAGCAGGAAATCCCATGGCTTCTGGGATGACAACCAGCAACCCTGGAATCAACTCCCCTCAGTTTGCTGGACAACAGCAACAGTTTTCAGCCAAGGCAGGCTCCACTCAGCCATACATACAGCAGGGCATGTATGGGCGACCCAATTATCCTGGGAGTGGAGGCTTTGGTGGCAGGTAAGATTTACTTGTGTGAGGCGGAAAATGGATTTAAGTAGTTGATGAAGCTTGTTTTAGTGACCTGGCAGAAGCGTCATGGGCTTATTTTAATTACATAAAGTCTCAGTAGCTATTTTATGCTGGTTAAGTGAAGTACATACTGTTTTTACAGCTTTGGAAATCAGCTACCTGAACTGCAAAGAAATTCATCACCGTAAATGGAAATGGCTTAGGTCAATCAATTAGCTCTAATAAACCCCCAAAATAAAGTTTTAATTAAGGGAGATTGTTAAACAGACCACAGGCTTAGGAATGATTAACATTTAATAAGGCCAGGATGTGAAAGGTATTGATGGTATAATTTCTTCGTGCATACGGAGGAGTAAGTTTGGGCATTGGGCAAAGGAGGTTCCTATGCAACAGAATATTTCTGCCCAAAGACTTACTCCACAAGAGGAATTTGAAAAGAATTGGGAACAAAGATGTTTTTTAAGAAAAGTGGTCATGCTGTGTATTTATTTTGGGAAATGAATGCTGCATTAGTCAAATAAGCAAAAACTAATAGTCTGGGGTTAGTTACATTTTGACTTTCTGTGTCTGTACTTTGTAAATAAGGGTGGTAAGGGCACTTAACTGAAACCACCCTTTATGGTCCCACTACAAAGCCTGCTGAAAAGACTGCTGCTGTTTGTATAGTCAGTCTAGTGTGAAGAGTATAAGCCCAGGACTCAGGGAACTTACCTCTTCTTTCATCTCTGCCACCAATCTGTTGAGTGACCTTGAACAAGTCAGAAAGTTTCTTTGGCTTTGTATTAACATCTCTAAAATGGGCACAGTATACTGGCCCATATTTATAAAGATATTTGATATCTTGGAGTGGGAAATGCATGGTTTAGCTTAGTTTATCTTATGATCAATAGAGGAGATTGGTAGGAATTGTGAAATACATTGTGTGAGATCCAGCAGAGTTGATTGCGTTGGGTCTCTCCTGGCCTTTCTGCTAAGGTTCAGGGAGAAATGCTTTTGCTATATTTGAGAACACTTGCCATAATTCACCACTGAGGCAGATGAACGTGCTGTAGTGTAGGGAGCTCTCTGTTCATGCTGCTCTGAAATCTGCCCCTACACTATTGGGAAATGGAGCATTAACTTTCAGGAGTTCAGTTCTACTTTGCAGTAAGCTATGGAGCTGTGAAGCAGTTCACTGCCCCCAAAACAACTGATGGCAGTGCCTTGCAATTCCAGTGGCAGCCCCTATGACTGGTGCACCTGGACAACACTTGTGCCTCCTGTACTCACCTAATTACCTCTCCTGCTGGCTTTCATTAGTCATTGATAGGTGGTTTTGGAACAGTTCCAGGTGAGGACCACACCACCATTCAAAACAAAATCCACCGGCACATCTTAATTCTGTCTTTCTTTCCTTTTTTTTTTCTTTTCTTCCCTGTTAGTTACCCTGGAGGCCCAAATACCCCTGCAGGAATGGGGATCCCCCCCCACACGAGGCCACCAGCTGATTTCACCCAGCCAGCTGCAGCTGCTGCCGCTGCTGCAGTTGCAGCTGCAGCTGCTACAGCAACAGCTACAGCTACGGCCACTGTGGCAGCCCTTCAGGAAACACAGAATAAGGACATGAACCAGTATGGACCGGTAAGAGATTAACCCTTATGTTTTCATACCTGCCTGATATGGACCATTACGGGGAATTGGGCTGTCCTTCTTACTGTCGTGTTTGTTAGGATGCCTACTCTATTTTTATTTTTTTGTGCATGAGCATGGTTATAAATGCTTATGAGAAACTGCTGGAATGTGTGTATGTAGGTATGAGTCAGTGTCGTGTGTTTTTCGTGATCAATCTTGCCTAACTGTGTTTTGTAGTTTAGGGGTTGCCCCTTAAGAAAAAATTGAAGATTACCCAAAATTACAGCTGCATCTGACATGATATATTATTGCTGCCTTTGCCAGCCCTCTAAATTTGAGAATCTAGTGAAATGTTCCAGAATCTTGAAATAGGTTTTGTAGTGCTTGGATAATTGTTTATTTTGCTGACTACAGTTGTTTGATTGGGTTTTTTCCCTTCAAACAAGAAAACAACAGTAGAAGAGAGGTTTGCTCATAATAATATTGTCTGTAAGAGCAGCTATGCAAGACATGCATATCTGGTGATAACTTCTAGCATGTCATGACCTCATGTAACCATTTTTTTCTTAAAATAAACAAAGGTTTGATCAATTCAGGTTTTTTCCTCCTTAGCTTTTTTACCTCTCTGAGTTCTGAAGTATATGGGTCCATGTGCCAGGTGATGTGAAGCACAGTGTCTTAGAAACTGTAGTGTTATGCTGTATTTACACAGCCAACTTCCTAACCTGTTACCTTGCAGTACTAGACAAACCAATTGAAAAGATTTAATTTCTCACTTTAGACTTACGTCTGTCTTCTACAATTCCAGTTGAATTTTTATTATAAATAACATCACTGCCCGTCAAATGCTGGAGAACATTGAAAGAAAATGCGACATAAATCCTTGCCTTCTTCCCTCCCCCAAAAAGCATGTTCAGCTCCCTCTTCCCATTTTATAAATGCATGTCGCATTTTATTCTTTTTTTTTTTTTCTTCTTCTTCCGTTGAAGGTTTGTTCCTCTTTCCAGATGGGTCCAACTCAGGCTTACAACAACCAGTTTATGAACCAGCCTGGTCCTCGTGGTCCTGCTTCTATGCCAGGCAACATGAACCCAGCAAGCATGGGAGCTGGAATGACACCTTCCAGCATGAGCGGGCCACCCATGGGCATGAACCAGCCTCGGCCTCCTGGAATGAGTCCCTTCAGCACCCATGGGCAGAGGATGCCTCAGCAAGCCTACCCAGGCCCTCGCCCCCAGTCTTTGCCTATACAGGGCATAAAGAGACCCTACCCAGGAGAGGTAATAAAATAAATTGTATTTTGTGTACACTGTTATTTTGACTGAAATTGCAACACGTGGGTAATGTGTGGTACACATCCCTTTAAGATAGGTGCATCTTTGTTCCAGCCTTGGTAGGAGTGCAGCCATTGAAATATAAGCAACAGCAGCTCTTCCTTTTTAGCTTCTAAAGTATTCAGGTTGGCCCTTGCTATGTTAGTCAAGATGACAGTCAACTCAAGAAAGGCCCCAAACCAGCTGAGCGCTCAAAATGTCACTGTAAGATTCTCATGGTGCCTTCACAGACCTTAAACAGACTTCCATCACAAAAGTGGATTCATTTAATATGACAACTTAAAAAGGACACTGAAGGTGAAATACTTCATTTAAGCCAACATGTGATCTGTGTTTTCTTGGATGGTTTTATTTTTCTAAAGAAATAACAGGACAGACATTGTATAAGCACGATCTTTTCCTTTCTACCTTGCCTGGCTGCCTTTGAACTCTTTTCTTTTTTTTCTTTTCTTTTTAATTTTTTGTTCTTCTGGTTTTTTTTTCCTTCATATTACAAGTTCCCACACGTTTGAGACCTTAGCAACTTCAGGAAAGTTTTATTTATTTATTAATAGTAATAACATTTATTTTAAAGACCAATTGCTTTCTAAACTTCTTGAGTGTTGATTTTCATGGTCACTGAGATGAATATAAATAATGTTGAACTCAAATCCCTGCTTGTCAGCATTTGTGTAATGCAAGTTTATTTGGAGTATGATAAGTTCCTGTGCTCTTGCAGAAGATCTGAATAACTTTGTAGGCAAAATTACATTATAATTGACTTGTAATATGACCTTGGGCAAAACACTTAGGGTCAAAATTTTAAAGAAATTTAGACAACCAAAGATGTAGACAAACAAGCTTTTGAAATTAAAAAGCACCAATGTGTTTTATTCTTCAAATCAGTGTGAATCAGGCAGTAGATGTTTTTGAGAATCCCAGCAGCTCTCAGCATCTGTGTACGCCTACATGTTTATATAAATCTAGCCACCACTTAGTAACTTCAGAGATCATTTCCTGTGAAATTCTATATTCAACTGAGACTTCAGCAACAGGTGTAGAGTATTTGAATATTGTGATATTACGCTGACAATAATTATGGTAGTAAGAGTTTACAGAAAACACAACAGCAAAGAGTACCATGGCATACAGAAAATATAGAAAACATTTCTTACTGAGCTACATTTCTTTCCTGATCTGCAAACTACTTTTTTCTAATTAAAAATTTATTCAGAAATAAAAAAGGGATGTGCTTTTGCAGGAGTTGCTACTCTGGGAAGGCTTTTCACTCTGTAGATACTGC